CCCCGTGCAAACTCATTGGGTGGAAACGTTGCCTTTTTTTGGGCTGACGTCCAGGGATGAGCTAGAGTGAGGAAAGAATTTGACTTGCAGTGCCGCTCTCCAGACCTAACCATCTCTGGAGACTAGAAGCTGCTGTGAGTGTGTTTGTGTGTCGTAGGCCAGCATGTGATCCTGGGGGGTTTGGGGGGGTCTTACAGAGGAGTTGAAGAAGGAGATACAGCTAATCCCAGAATTTCAGCAAGGTCAAGCTGATTTTAGTTTCCTTAGATAAACTAAAGATGAGATGGACAATCAGTCATTTGATATCTTGATGTCTTTGTCGTGCTTTCCTTGTTGCTTTTAGGCAATAAACTCTAGTGCACAACACTGTCTGACTTTATGCTTTGCATTGGAAAAACCGCTTGTAACTTTGACAGTTGACTTTTTTGCAATAAACGGCTCTTCCCTATTCTGTTGAATGACCGACCTCTGGCTTTGTTGTGAAGTGTGTCATGTTGTTACATGAGGGCTCACTCCTCACTGGGAGCAGCGATATCGCTCCCAACGCTGGTGACCGGTGCAGGGTTATAAATACCACCGCCACAAGTTCTCCTAACTGGGTTTCGAGAGATGATACTAAGTTTGGGTATGACTCAGAGTCTGCAGCTCTGCTTTGTAGTGCAGCCCTGGCATAATCTCACATTTAGGCTAGAGGATGTGTCTGTATGTGAGTCATGGACCTTATGTCACTTAAAAAAAAAAAAAGATTGGTTGCAGAAGGACCCATAAACATGTTCTCTCCTGTTGTCTCTATGATGTGATTCATGATGAAGACCATTACAGGCCCTCTTGCGCATATGGACGGCGTCAGGCACGGGGAATTAACCAATAATAACCTGCGACATGTTCAGTGTCCGACGCCCTCAACGTCAAAGAATGTGACTCCGTACGGGTTTGCTGCTCCTCACGTTTTCCATTTTGTGACGCGGTTGGCTGAGACAGGTTGGTCCTGCGTGGTTTCAGGCGTACAGCAAAGAGGACGCACGAGTGAATGAGGGTTCCCGCAGACGAGCGGAGATTCCAGATCTCGTCGGCTCAACTGGTCTCAGAGGGTAGCATTCCAAGTGGTGTCGTCGAAGCCCGTGCATTCCTCACATGACAGTCGCTGGAAACCATGGTGAAGAGCGAGCAGAGCAGACATTCCTCAGCTGTCACCTAAACCCCTCCCCTCTAGTCATTCTCTCTCTCTGGCTTGCCTCTCTCCATACAATGCCAAGGCCCAGCTGACTGTTGCCCACTGAGCTCCATCGAGGCAATTAGTGTGGAGGTAACCAGGGCTTGTCGCTCTCCACACAAGGAAAATCTCCACAGTGACCCACACCTGAACTTTTTTTTTTTCTCTTTAGCGTCCATGGTCTTTGCTGATCTCCCCCCCCCCCCCCGGGACCGAGGTGGCAGGACTCGGCTCAGCTTAACATGTCAGAGTTGGCTATTACAATGCCTTTGCTCTGTTGACATTACACACCCTCATTATGGCCCTGAAGTCTATGAACATTATCTTGCACGGTCTCCATGACAACGACTCAGGGAAGGTTGCTAGTCACTTGTGTTGGTGGATTTGCATGTACGGAGTGGGAGTTGCATAACAGAGCGAACAGAGAGAGAGTCTTTGGCAGCGCTCAGCGGTTTGCAACGAGAATCAACTTCATGAATCTCGTAATGGAACAATTACAGAGCGTGCGGTGGAAGATGGTGAGGTGGCTGTGTTGCTTTTCATCCAGACCAGCATCAGTCGTCATATTAACACATTACACAATCGCTGTGGATCTCACTACAACCCCCGAGCCTGAGATTCTCAGCTGTGCCTGAGGCTCGCAGTCGGCCTGTGAGAGGAGCAAAAGAGAAATGCCTTTGACGTTTCCCCGTCCTCCTGATAAAGGCACCACGGCATCCTCTTACAGACCCCCAGCCTCCTGTCTTTCTGCCCGAGGGAGAAAATCCCGCCGTCTCACGTGGAGAGCCCCCTTGGCCGAGACAGGCAAAGCATCACAACGCATTTCAGATTTCACTGTTGCTCTCACCTGTTCACTAGCCTGCACTACAGAGATGCAGGTTAGTGACTTATCAAGGAAAGGCTTCATCCACCAAAATAAGTTTCTATCTTGATAATGTGCCCAGATCTGATGTTGACTGTTAAAGACGACCTAGGGTTACATATTTTGAGGGTGAGATGTAATACACAGCGCTGTTTTCAGTTTTTCAGCAGCATGTGGCCCAGATGACAAAGCAATGGTCTTCTGCATGCAAATTTAGTAAGGAACGCTACTGATCTTTGGTACGTTGGTGTAAAGCGTCCACAGCCTTTTAGTACGTATAGTAATCCAAAATCTGTTGAGGCTTTTGAGGGAGATGGATGGTGATGATGGATGAACATTTGTTGTAGAGATTATGATTCGTACTTCTTGTTGAACATCAAGGTCCAGGTAGTTTGACATCACTCAGCTTCACTTTGAAGTTCAGCCTTTCATTTTGTCCACTCCATTGTTCGAGTGTCATTAATTAGTTTTCTTCTATAAATGACCTATTCTTCAGACGCAGCTATACTGGCAGCAGGATCTAATGAGCTCCACCGTTGCGTGTCACATAGTACATGGCCCCACGGTGCTCTGGTATGTAGAGGGGACTACCTGCCATGTGTAGAGCCAGCATGCCCATTTTTTTTTTTTTTTTGTTCAATTCATGCAGAGAACTAGTCTAACTGCTGC